TGCAACTGGTGCAAAAGTTTCTTCATAATCAATGTCGTAGGTCTGAGTGTAACCCTTGGCAACTAACCGAGCCTTATATCTCTCAAGAGTACCATCATAATTATATTTCAAGGTATAATAAACCCATCTATACCCTACTGCTTTCTTTCCATCAGGTCTATCAACAACCTCCCATGTTTTATTTTTCTCCAAGACTTTCATCTCATCTTGCATGGCTCGAGCCCAATTCTCATCTTTTAATGCTTCATGTACTGATTTTGGGATTGAGATAGAATCTAGTACTGCAATAAAGCTTTTGTGCTGCACATAAAGGTTAGTAGAAGAGACAAAATGAGAGATAGGGTGTTGGGTACAAGATCTTTTCCCTTTTATTAAGGTAAGAGGTAAGTCATAAGATGTACTGGGTAAGCTATCAGAAGCAGCAGACAAATCATTCGAGGCAACAATATTAGGTTCAGAAACAGGAGAAGTAATAATATTAGGATCAGAAACAAGAGATTCAGGACTGGTGAAGCAGTGTGGGCTGCTTTCTCTTGTGATATACTAACTCAGGTGTCACAATCCTTTGTATTTCCGGTGTATTAGATAGGCCAGACACAGAAGAATCAGAAACAAGAGGAAGAGGTGTAGGAGAAGATATGGAAGGTTTAGACTCAAAGATAGAAGATGATGAATTTACTGAAGAACTGCTCTCCGCCTGAAGATGAGGACTTGGGTAAAAGAACTTAGATTCATGAAATGTGACATCCATTGAGACAAAGAATTTCCGACTAGCAGGATGATAACATTTGTAGCCTTTTCATCAGGGGCATAACCTAGGAAGATACATTTGAGAGCCCTAGGATCCAACGTCACCTTTCGGCGAAGCTCCTCCCATCGCACCTCAGAAAAGTCAGCAACAAGGGAAGGTAACAGGTTTTGCCCCAATATTCTTCCACGAACATCATCAAGATCACGATTAAGGCCAACAAGAAAATCATAGAGACGTCTTTTCTCTAAATAATTTTTAAACCTTGCATTAGCTTTTAAACTGTAAAGAACCATTTCAACCCAAAACCTTATGGTGTTGGGTGAGGGCCTTTTTAATGGTTTATATTATTCTCTAACACACCCCCTCACACAAGAGCCCTTTAGGCTTGAAGCGTGGATTATTGCATAGGCCTAATTTTTGGTTTACCTTATGCTTATTTAATTCCACAAGTGGAGGGCAGTGAGGATCGAACTCGTGACCTTGTGGTAATTGATGGTCTGATACCATGTAAAGAACCACTTCAACTCAAAACCTTAAGGTATTGGGTGAGGGTTTTTTTAGTAATTTATATTATTCTCTAACATAAACCTTGAAGGTCTGCTTCATCATAAAGATCCAACTCCTGCCACAAAGTTTTTAAAGCAAGGAAGTATTCGGTGATAGTCGTCCCTCCTTGATGTAAGTCTTTTATCTTGGTGTTGAGTTCAAAAGCCTGAGAAGCATTGCCCAGGTTAGAATAATATTCTTTAACAGCATCCCAAATTTCCTTAGCCATATCAAGTAACAAGTAAGTTTGACTGATATCGGATTCCATGGAGTTAGTTAACCATGTCATGATTAAGGCATTTTCAGTCACTCAATTATCGTAGCCAGGTTCTCGTTCTACGGGTTTTTCCTTTTTTTCGTCAAGATACCCCATCTTTCCTTTCGCTTGGATAAACAACTTCACAGAGTGACACCATTGCACATAGTTCTTGCCGTTCAAATGGTGATTGGTAATCTGCATAGCTGGGTTGTGTCCAGAAGACGAAGAATTGGGAAGATGAGAGGCTTCGGAAAAAGCACCGGATGTATTTGTAGAACTTTCAGAATCCATAGTTTACAGCGGAAGAGAAGAACAGGTTCCTAGTAAAAAATTTCTCCAAAAGCGAATTGAACCCTCAAAACAGGAAGAGGGGAGGCCGACGAAGTGAGCAGAACAAGCAGCACCGCAAACGAGCACATGCAGGGCGGCACGTGGCTCACACGCGCTGGCGAGGCTGTTTCTGAAGTCAATGGTGGCCTTGGTTTCGTGATTGGATGTGTCTAGATAATGTTTCTAGGAGATGGCAGAGGCCAAAAAGGAAAAAAAAAGAAAACGATGGGGTTCAAAATTATAAAATGACAATAGGATAACCTGCTCTTATACCATGATGAAATATGATTTCTGAATAATTTTTCATGTATTACTTTGAGACCCAAGGGGTTCCTTTTATGCAGATTACAACTGGTAGCTCAAGAGTTACAGTAATAAACAGTAATAAAGAGTAACAAATAGAATACAGCGATCAAAGGGTCTAACAGCTAGTAAAAATAATTCTAATACTCTAGAATATTCTACAGGATCAAATTAAACATACTACTGGACAAAAAAGGGGGAACAACATTTTAAAAAAAGTGAGGGGAGAGGCTTGGCTTGGCCAATGCCTTTGACTTTTTTCGGCCATTGGCTAAAGTGACATTTGATAGGTAATCTGCAAAAGGGTGGAGAAAAGAGATTTGTTACCAGGCTTATGATAAAAAGTGCATGGATCCAGATTCCAGGGGGCAACATTTTACCAAAATGAACGATATTGTTATTGGTGCAGTGGACTGCTGGGCTGTATGTAACAGTAGAAAAACTAGTAGAAGAGAGATGTCCTCAGTGTTTGTAGCAGGAGACATGCTTGCTAGGGGGAAGGGGAGCTCTTACAGACCATAAAACGGCTTAGTGCATAATTCTGATATTTGTGTGATGTACTCCTGGAGTTCAGAGTTTATTATCTGCTTGTTTTTATGTTGGGAAGTGACTAGGTAGTCAAAGTATGCCCTGTCAAAGTATCATTTATAATGACCTAGTTAATCCTTCCCGAATTTGCTTTTGGGATTGAGTTACGCCCTATTTGTTCACAATTCTTAATTTTTTGTCTAGTTTGGGTGGCAGGAGGTGCCGCAGGTATAGGTGACCAAGACAAGTGAGCTCTATTCCAGCTATGATATTTTTTTATTTTTTTCAGAATCTAGATTTGGATTCTGTAACTATGGTGGTAGTATCTTGTATCTTAAGTAAGAAGCAGAAATTTGTGTGTGAATGAGCCAAGGCTACAACACTTGTGAGCTCATATTTTTAAAACAATTTCTTCAAAAATTGAAGTTTGGATACATCAAACAACAAAGTGTTATGTTGTGATAATCAAGCAGCTTTGCATATAGCCTCTAATCCAATTTTTCATGAAACAAATAAGCATATAGAAATTAACTACCATTTTCTTTGGGAAAAAGTTCTTTTGACAGATGTTGTTACTGTTAGAGATATATATAACCATTAATGTACCCTCACCCAACAACTTAAGCTTTTGGGTTGAATTGGTTCTTTACATGGTATCAGAACCTCATGTCCCGGGTTCGATCTAACCTCCCTTCACTTTCTAGTGGAATTTCTTAGTATAGGTAGGCTGGGCCTGATGCATCATCAAACCTTCAAGCCCAGTGGGCTCTCGTATGAGCGGACGTGTTAGAGATATATATAACTATGAATGTACCCTCACCCAACAGCTTAAGCTTTTGGGTTAAATTGGTTTTTTACAGTTACTAAATGTGTTAGTTTAAATGAATAACTGGTAGACATCTTTACAAAGCAAAGGACCTTGATGCTTGAAGATACTAAATTTATAATAAGTTTGGTGCATTAGATGTATATGCTCTAGCTTAAAAGGGAGTAGTTAATATAGCATTGGAAATTTTGTGGTTAATGTAACATGGGAAATGTTAGTCTTATGGATTAGCTTAATTTTTATTTATATCATTGGACATGTATATAAATATCTTCATGTCGAGTCCAAATCACTCAAGCAATTCACATAAATCCTTCCTGAACTGCATTCTAATTTCTTCTCAAGTATGATAATTGTTAATATTTTGTTAGAGATATAATATATTAAATCATTAATATGTAATTCACCTAATGGTTTAAGCTTTTGGGAACCAATAATGATATCAAAGCACCTCTATGATCAAGTGGTCTAGAGTTTAATTCTTGCTGTCCCCATTCTTCTAATAAAAATTTCAGCACAAAGTAGTTTGGCCTATGCACTATCCATGTTTCTAACCCTAAAAAACAAGGGCTCTTAGTGTGGCGGGCCTGTGCATTGTCCTCAGTTTAAGTTCAAAGAGCTCTTGCGTGAGTGTGCGTGTTATAGGTATAATATATAAAATCATTAGTGTGTCATTTACCTAACAACTTAAGCATCTGGTTTTTTTTGGTTCTTTACATATTTATTAAATTTAACTCTGATTTGACCAGAGTTGAACCATTGAATCACAAATCAGTCTGTTCAATGAATGTTTATCAATCTTAAGTGGTAGAGAAGTGGCTGTAATTGTGCAACCAGAATGGAATCTTGGTCAACAGTTTCCCCGTCATTCAAGTTCCTAAAGTGAAAGTCTCATGTTAAATTTGGACCTTAAATGAAAGAAAAGTTTGATGGGACGAACATGCACAGTGGAGAGACAATCAAGACGAGAAAACCCTCTTAAGAAAGGAAAATTCTTCCAAGACCTCATATGAGTATCATCACTCTAATGTATAGAAACTTGTGGGCTAAAAGAATATATCCCTGAGAAATGATCATCCAGGGACTGGCATGAGTTGCATTGATCATCGTGTTGTATCCCTCCCATTTTGATCTCAACCATATTTTCTGTAACTTGTTACCATAATCATGGTCTTCTGATGAGTAAGAAGGACAAGACTTTGTGGAGCTATGCACTTTTTGCTGTTAATAAGAATATATGTCTACATCACAAATATATAGCTGAGTTTTTTACAGTTGATGTAGTATTTTGGCTCTTTTAGGAAGATGTGATATTCTCCCACATTTGGCTTGCTGTTTATAGTTTTGCTCGTGATACTATTGCAGTTCTCTGTTCTTTGGAACTGTCCTTTCAGACATGTTAAATACAAAGCTTTAAACTTTCCTCATTTAATATCAATGTTTTTATTTTATTATAGCATGGCTTCTGTTTGTGGAGGTTGCTTAGCATTGCAAGATGCTGGGGTTCCTGTTAAGTGCTTGATTGCTGGAATTGCGATGGGTATGGTATTCGACACCAAGGAATTCGGTGGAGATGGAACTCCACTTATTCTATCTGACATAACTGGATCTGAAGATGCATCTGGAGATATGGATTTTAAGGTTGTAGTTTACATAGTTGAACTTGTAATTCCTATTTGCTCACTTGTTTATCTGGATGAATAAGTAATTCTAGGAGCTCAGTTGGGTTTCTTCTGTATTTTCATTTCTATTTTATTTAGATTTGATCAACATGACATTGATGTCATAATGCTAAAAGTGATGTTTTGACAATGATGTAATGCAGGTTGCTGGAAATGAAGATGGCATAACTGCATTTCAGATGGACATTAAGGTGAAATAGTATCATTATTTTTTTTTTGGATACAATAATGGGAATTGAACACATAACCAAATACAAACTACCCAAACCCCTCACCACTAGACCAATCCTAGTGGCTTAATAGTATGATCATTTTAATGCTTATATGTTGATAAGCTTGTTTCTTTTTTTCTCATTTGTTTGGATTTCCAGAAACTGCTTATTTTTTTTGAAACTAGAGCATTTATTATTTATTAAATAGCTTATAGATGTTATTTTTATTCACATCTCCTTCTAAATAAGTAAATAAATGATGGTAATCAGTTCCTGATTTTTAGCCTGAATTTCAGGAACAGTGGCAGGAAGATTTTGTTTCTGATTTTGAGCCAAATTTTCAGGAACAATGGCAGGCAGAATCTTTTTTTTAATGTCCAATTAGGTGTAATTATTAGCTCCTATTGCCTCTCTTATTTCTTAGGCCGAGGAGAAATCAGAGAGAAAACGATAGAAAATGAGAAAATAGTTGAGAGAATTCTGCATGTTATTGATTATGAATCTTGGTTACAGAAAGAGTTACAAGATCTATATATAGAGCTAGAGTCTTATTCAGCAATGAGTCAGAGTCTTAACAGAAATGTAACCACTCTAACAGACAGGCATAACAGAATAAAAAATGATCTAATACAGCCAGGCACATAGTTGGTCCAATACACTTATAATACATGAAACAATAATGTTTATGCTATGTTATATGCTAATACATCCCCGCAAACTCATGGATTATGGAGAGGTAGTGCTGAATCCATAACCCTGAGTTTGGACCTCAATTCAACAAAGCGAGCAGGAGATAGAGCCTTAGTAAGGGTATATGACATTCAACAATCTAATCTACTAATGTAAAATGTTAAACAATCAACTCCTTAGCTATGACACGTTCGCGAGCAAAGAAAATGTCAAGCTTCATGGGCTTTTTGCGGGCATGAAAAATAGGATTATGAGAGAGGGCAACTGTACTAAGGTTGTCACTCAAAACTGGAGGTGTGCATAGAGGAACATGAAGCTCACGAAGTAAGGATTGCATCCAAAGAATCTCAGCATAAATGATGGCAAGGCTGCGATTTTCAGCATCTGTGCTTGCTCTAACAACTAGAGGTTGCTTCTTAGACCACAATAAGAGTAGATTATGTCCCCAAAATATGCAAGCACCTGAAGTAGAGTGTGTATCATCAGGATCACTTGTCCAATCAACATCACAATAGGATATGAGAAAGAGAGGATGGTGTGGAGATGCAACTTTGAGATGGAGACAGAAAGTAGAAGTCTCTCTAAGGTATCTCGGTATTCTCTTCACAATTTTCCCGTGTTCTTCCAAAGGTTGAACTATGAATTGACAAACCTTATTGACTGTATAGTTAATCTCAGGACGAGTAATGGTAGCATATTGGTGTGCACCCATGATAGATCTATAGTGGTGAGGGTCTGCATAATATTGAGAACCATGTTAAAACAATTTGCAACTAGAGTGCATACGAGGGGAAATACTCTTTGCATCCTTCATATTAGCCTTAATCAAATGGTCTCTAATGTACTTAGATTGAGATAAGAGAAGAGTACCATTAGGTTGTCTTTTTATTTCAACTCCAAAAAAATATTTCAAGTCTCCTAAGTCCTTGAGAGCAATTTTTGAGTGAAGATGAGTGATAAGGTGTTGAATTAAAGTGGGATCATTTTTGGTAACTAGAATATCATCCACATATACAAGGATGTAGATGCATCTGGTGTTGGCCCGAAGAACAAATAAAGAGGAATAACAATAGCTAGCATGCAAACCAAGAAGGAGCAGGAACTGTATAAGTTTATCAAACCAGGCTCTAGGTGCATGTTTTGGACCTTAGAGGGCTTTATTGAGCTTGCAAACCAAAGTTTTGTTTGAAGACTTAAAACCAAGTGGTTGTTGCATGTGTACTTCTTCCTCAAGATCACCATTGGAAAACATTATTCATTCACTTCTATTTGTCTAAGCAACTATCCATATGTGTGAGCAAGAGTGAGCTTAATCAGGGTTTGGTATTCCAACAGCCATGACAGAAGTATTTGGTATTCCATCAGCCATTCCGCATATGCAGGATTGAGAATATCATTTAAACAATCTTCATCAGATTTGTACTTGAGTAGGATCTTTGGATTCACTAGAAAACCGTGAAACAATGAGAGGTAACAATCAGTTCAATATTTGGTTCCAAAATAGATAATTATTGTCAAGAGAGTTTAATAGTGATTTGATGAGTGAAGAGCGATGGAGTTTTGTTCTTGTAAAGAAACAATTCAACCCAAAATCTTAAGGTATTGGGTGAGAGCCTTCTTAATAGATTATATAGTTCTCTAACACACCCCCACACGCAAAAGCCCTTTGGGCTTGAAGGTAGATATTAAACAGGCCCAATTTTTTAGTTTACCTCGAGCTTATTTAATTCCACTAGAAAGTGGGGGGCAGTGAGGATCGAACTCGTGACCTCATAGTCATTGAAGCTCTGATACCATATAAAGAACCAATTCAACCCAAAACCTTAAGGTGTTGGGTGAGGGCCTTCTTAATAGTTTATATTATTCTCTAACATTTTTTTTTGTCAAAGCTAATATCATAATGATTTAATCAAAGATTTTCTGTTGTATCCAAAGTCTCGTCAAAATATGTAATTGATTTACTTTTTTCTTCTTAATTTGAAATTTTGAATTTGCCGAGTCATGATGGGATAGGATTGCTGAGTCATAGAATAAGACTGACGACTTATTACTGAGTCATTCTTATCTATTTTTTCCCTTCATTTACACTTGTATAAATTCCTCCTATCAGTGTAAATCAAGGGAATCAATGGAATAAACTCTTTATTTCACATTTTTTAATATGGTATCAGAGCAGGTTGATCTTGAGAAAGCTCAGCCACCACAACCACCATCAAAACGGCGGCACATTGCCGGAAAACTCAAAATCCGCATCTTATTTCTCTTTTTTCATAATTTTAATATGGTAGTAGAAAGATATCATCCTCCTTGAGAGGAATTTTCTTCTTCGTCGGATCTTCCTTGTCGGACAGCCTCATTCTTCGCTCAGTTGCAGATCTTCCCTGTTTCTCTTGTCTTTGTCGAACCCATCATCAGTTTCTAGCATCACCGGCCACTGTCAGCTCCTGGAAAAATTTTCTGACGACGTTCCGATCAATAAGTATGTCATCGAACTCAGAAGGAGTCAATCTATCCAACGCCGCCAGACGCACCGTTATCAGAACTCTCACGTGCCACTTAACTCTCTGCACGTGGTTGACACATCACCTTCCTCCAGCGCATGTAGCATTTTCCTGCGACAGTTCATCGTCAACCAAGGCCAGACGAGGTCACCCAGACATCCTCTCTCCGTATTTGCCTTTACTTCGTTCAACGGAGATCGTTTGGGTCACAATACACATCGTTTGGGTTGCGGCCTTCACTTCGTTCTTCTCAGATTCGGTGGATCTACATCTGTTCACCGTCTCTATCCCTCATTCTTGTTTTCCGACGAAGCTCAGACGCTGCTGTCCTTCAGCCGCTCCCTGTCACCATGTGGTTCTATTCGCGACTGTTGCTGCTTTATCACTCTTCTTGTTTTGCTTTCTTAAAGCAAGGTCAAAGTGAAGGAGGAGAGTGTCTCTCTTCCGCCACCACCTCTGCATCTGATCTCGTTTCGCTTCCAGTTCGGGTTTGTAGTCAAAACCTGTTCAAATCTCCTCGCGCCAACGTCCGTCCGCGGTGGTCATCCGTTGCTACCATCTCTTCAGACTGATGGTCATTCCAGCTGATTTGTCGTGCTACTGATTTCTCCAGCTTATGTTCCGCAAAGGTTTGTTTTTTAGTCTTTTTTCTTCCCAAGATGGAGCGTTCATGCTATTCATCTTCCATTTTGAGGGGGAGTGTTAAGAAGTTCCTCTTGATGGGAACATCGTCCATGTTGCTGATGGTCATTCCAGCACAGTTGTCTCCACCGATGTTCATTATGACACCGTCCATGTTGTTGATGTTCGTTCCAGCACTGTTCCTCTTGAGGGGGAGCATCGTCCATGTTGCTCATGGTCATTCCAGCACAGTTGTCTCTGCTGATATTCATTCTGGCACCGTCCATGTTGCTGATGTTCATTCCAGCACAGTTGTTCTGCCGATGTTCATTCCGACATCGTCCATATCGTTGATTCTCATTCCAGCACAGTTATTTCTGTCAATGTTCATCCCGGCACGGTTCATGTTGCTGATGTTCATTCCTACACAAATGTTTCAGTCAATGTTTATCCCGGCACAGTTTCATTTCGTCGATGTCCTTCCTGACTCCATTTTTAGCACATTGTTGATTTTTGGTTCCTCATTTAGGAGATTTATTTTTATGTTATGTTACTTAGTTTTTCTTGTTCAAGCTTGTAGCATATGATCTATATGCTCCAGCTTGAGGGAGAGTGTAGGAAATTAGTAATTGATTTACTTTTTTCTTCTTAATTTGAAATTTTGAATTTGCTGAGTCATGATAGGATAGGATTGCTGAGTCATAGGATAAGACTGTGACTCATTGCTGAGTCATTCTTATCTATTTTTTTCTTCATTTACACTTGTATAAATACCTCTTATCAGTGTAAATCAAGTGAATCAATGTAATAAACTCTTTATTTCACAGTTTTCAATAGTTCTCCATGGTGATTTCATGGTTTGTTTGGGAGTAATTTAAAGCGGAAGACATAGTTGAGGCTAAGTCATAGGAATGAACATTTTCTTATGGTTTGATACCATAAGAAAAATAAGAGAGAGAATAGTTGAGAGAATCCTGCATATGATTGATTATGAATCTTAGTTACAGAAAGAGTTGCAAGGAACTCTATCTATAGAGCTAGAGTCAGCAATGAGTCAGAGTCGTAAGTTGTAATAGAAATGTAACCATTCTAACAGTCTGGCTTAAATACAGCCAGGCACACAGTACGTACAGTACACTCATAATACACGAATCAATGATGCTTATGCTATGTAATATTCTAATAATGCCTTGAATAGTGGAGTTTTTTTTTCTTTGCTTTTTTTTTTTTTTCAATTTCCCTATATATACAATATTTTCTTGAATAAGAAAATATTATATGTAAAGAACCAATTCAACCCAAAAGCTTAAGCTATTGGGTGAGGCTACATTAATGGTTTTTATATATCTCAACACGCCCCCTCACACGAGAGCCCACTGGGCTTGAAGGGTGGACAACGCACAGGCCCACCTACCTGTGCGAACAAAGAAATTCCACTAAAAAGAAAGTGGGGGGCGGTGAGGATAGAACACAGGACACCGAGGCTCTGATACCATGTAAAGAACCAATTCAACCCAAAAGCTTTAGTTGTTGGGTAAGGCTACATTAATAGTTTTTATATATTTCAACATTATAGAATACTCTCTTTTAAGCAACAGAATAAGAAAAAAAAATACAATATTTACTTGAATAAATAAATTATATTATTTTATCTATATTTTATATGATACCGTTCTCTAATTGCTATTAATATATCTATTTTTACAGGTGGGAGGAGTTACTTTACCTATTATGAGAGAGGCACTGCTACAAGCAAGAGATGGCAGGAAGCATATTCTTGGTAAGGTTAAAACAATACTAAGACTTACTTCACGGGGGTATAACTTTGTCAAAAGTATGGTACATTTTTTTATTAAGACATAATAGTTAACATTTTTTTTTTCAGAACTAGATCTTGAAATTAGGGGTAAAATGAAAAGGAATACTGTGCTTTTTGGTAGCAAGTATTAAGTGCAAAGTAATGTGTTGGGTTCTATTTGCAAGGAATGGGACTTGGAGTCCCACATTGGTTGTATAGGCAACTAATATGGGGTTTTATAAGGCTTTGGGCACTCCTACCCTTTGAGTTAGCTTTTGGGGTGGTGCATCCCAAGGTCTCATCAAATGGTATCAGAGCATCCATCACGTGGAGTTGTGCGTGGGGGCACGCACTAGGGAAGCGTGGTGGAATGTTGGGTTCTATTTGCAAGGTATGGGACTTGGAGTCCCACATTGGTTGTACGAGCAACTAATATGGGGTTTTATAAGGCTTTGAGCACCCCCACCCTTTGAGCTAGCTTTTGGGGTGGTGCATCCCAAGGTCTTATCATAATGCATCTATGATACAAGTGTGGCTAAAATGTTGAGGGGGTTAATCTCAGAATCAGGGAAAGATATTACACAATTCATTAGGAGAAAAAGCTTTATGTTCTACTCTAATCTGCAACACTTCATTTGTATTAATCCTATGTAATTAAGTCCAGATGGGGATTTCAGCTTAGAGGATGTTTTGGACATCCAAATGCATTTAGCACGGTGAAACTCGTATATGTACAGAGGATGAGCGAGGAGCTGGATTTAGGCATTGCTGATTTACATGAAAATGTAGAGGAGTCTATAGCCCAAATCTTTCCCCCTTTTTTATTTTGTTTCATATGTCCATTTCCTGGTATTTCCATCTTTGCAGAATGTGAGTGATCATGACTTATGACGCATCTGATTTAGTTTCCTTGAGGGGCATGCTTGGTTGTTCCTCTTTTTGTCATCTCTAGAATGCTTGTGACAAGCTTGATGCATATGATTTTGTATGCACCAGCTCGAGTGCGAGTGTTGGAAAGAATCTCCTATTTTGGAAAATACTTCTCGTATCTCCTATTTAGGGACTGTGTATATAAATAGGATTCCATTTGTATTATTTTCATGAATTTCCTAGTTTCCTAATGTTAGAAAATAATATAAACCATTAAAAAGGCCCTCACCCAATACCTTAAGGTTTTGGGTTGAAATGATTCTTAACATGGTATTAGAGTTTCAGTAACCACAAGGTCATGAGTTCGATCCTCACCGCCCACCACTTGTGGAATTAAATAAATATAAGGTAAACCAAAAAGAAAATTGGACCTATGCAATATCCATACTTCAAGTCCAAAGAGCTTTTGCATGAGGGGGTGTGTTAGAGAATAATATAAGTCATTAAAAATGTCATCACCCAACACCTTAAGGTTTTGGGTTGAAGTGGTTCTTTACACTTAATGTTAGAGATTGTAGGTAATGCATAAATAGGTGCTGCTGAGGGATTTCCTCAAAAAATTCAGAAATCCCTCTTCCACAATAACCATGTATCCTAGAAAAAAAAAATGTTGTCACATGGTCTAGTGTAGAGGCTAAGTATTGAGCTATGACAATGGTCACTTATGAACTTATATGGGCGGAACAATTTCTTGTACAGTTGAAGTTTGGGAATGGTGATCATATGAAGTTGTATTGTGATAATTAAGTTGCTTTACATAGTGTCTAATTCAGTCTTTCATGAGAGGACCAAGCATATAGATATTGATTGTCACTAGAAAAAGTTCTCTCAAAGTAAATCACTATTGTGTTTGTTAACTCTAGTGATCAGCTTATCGATATCCTACAAAGTTTCTTTGTGGTCCTCGAATCCACTTCATATAGAACAAGCTTGCTGCATACGATTTGTATGCTCTAGCTTGAGAGGAGTTTTGGAAAATATATCCTACATAGGGAAAATATCTCCTATTTAGGGGCTGTATATTTTCTATAATTAACCATGATAAGGATTATACATTTTGAATCATGTCTATATAATTAACCATGATAAGGATTTCCTCAAGCAATTCCGAAATCCTTTCTTTCTATCTCAAGAGTATGCAAATACAGAAAAAAGAAGGAGTAATTAGAGTGCCGAAATTGGGATAATGAGCCAAAAGTTTTTTTGCCAAGAACCCTAACCAAATGGTTTTCTATTCAAACTAGTCAGACCTATATTTTACTTTAAAGTGTCATATATGAGCACTAAACTGGTAACTGTAAGTAAAGTATTCCTTCCTCTTACTTTTACAAAGTAAGGGAGGTCAAAATTTTCAATATTTTCCATTTGCAGTCTTTGTCGTTATGAAAATAGATACCTCTGTCCATCTTCCTTTTCACGACAGTTCCTATTTTCATTCTGCTTATGCTTTACACTTGGTAAAATAAACATAATCTACATATGATTTGAAGAGCAATGCACATGGCTAAATTCTGGAAAAATTATATTTTTATTGTTTTTAAAGTCTTAAATTAATTATCTTTGGTTGTTGCTGTAGTCTCAAATTTCTGTCTTTTCTTTCCCCTTATGATACCTAATCTAGGAGTAATGATGAATTGCTCGCCCCCTCCAGCAAAAAGGCTTTCCAAGCATGCTCCTTTGATTCACGTTATGAAGGTCTGTTTATTACTTCCCTTTTTTTCCTGGCATTGGTTATCACTCAATAACCCATTTTATGACCTCATCCTAAAGTTATGATCCGGAACATATAATGTTTCTTTGTCACATCCATATATTTTTTATAGGTCAAACCTGAGAGAATAAATCTTATAATTGGTTCTGGTGGGAAAAAAGTAAAGAGCATTATTGAGGAATCTGGAGTAGAGGCTATCGATACAGATGATAATGGCACTGTACGAGAACAATCGGCTTATCTACATGCTTTTTTTGTGATTATTATAGTTACTCTTCTATGAGTATGCAATGAATAACTCTTTTTGTGGCTTTTGCAGGTGAAAATATTTGCAAAAGATTTGTCTAGTTTAGAGAGGTCTAAAGCTATAATTAGTAGTTTGACAATGGTTCCAACTGTCGGTGATATATATAGGTACTTATCTTGTTTTTCTGCTTATATTGGTCTGTTGCATGCATTGACTCAATAATGACTTTTGTTAGAATATATTGGATATTTATTATCATGTGTACATGGTAATGTCAGAAATTAGAATATATCAAAATATCTGTCTATATCTTCGATTGTATCTTATGGTAATTTAGAGTTTCTTAGATTATCTCTCCTTATTAGTTTCCATATATGTATATATTTCATGATTTGTTTCCTTATTTGATTAGGATTTTGTGTTTAATATTACTATAAATAGGGATTAATGCTTTGTATTTTGTACCCCATCATAACACATCCATCATATCAATTATCAAATCAGTACCAATTCAAGATTATTTAGTCTTTATTCTCTCATTTTCATCCGTTCCTAGCTAAATCCCTATAATTTTAATGTGGTATTAGAGCAATACCATCCTTGCAAAAATGAGGGATAAGAAAAGTAAAGACCTCACCCAAGTTAGATGCATCAAGGATGAAAACCGAAAACTTTTGGTAAGAGATGAAGATGTAAATGAAAGATGGATGAACTATTTTAACAAACTTTTTAATGGGGATGTCGATAAAAGCGAAATGGGCTTGGAGGATGCTTATGATGATCTGAATAGAAGATTTGTGCGCTGAATCAATACACATGAAGTCAAGGAGGCTTTAAAGAGGATGAAGACTAATAAAGCTTTGGAACCCGATGGCGTACCTATTGAAGTGTGGAGAGGCTTAGGGGAGGTGGCAATTAATTGGCTGACCAAACTTTTCAATAAGATTCTTCAAACAAATAAGATGTCTGATGCTTAGAGGAAGAGTATGTTTGTGCCTATTTACAAAAACAAAGGAGATATCCAGAATTGTTCTAACTCTAGAGGCATTAAGCTTATGAGCCATACTATGAAGTTGTGGGAGAGAGTTGTTGAACATCGTTTGAGGAGAGATACCAATGTTTCTATAAATCAATTTGGATTTATGCCAGGAAGATGTACCACAGAAGCTATTTTCTTGATGCATCAATTGATGGAAAGATATCGACAAAAATAAGAAGGATTTACATATGGTGTTCATAGATCTTGAGAAAGCATACGATAGGGTCCTAAGAAAAGTTTTATGGTGGGTTCTTGAGAAGAAAAAAGTACCATCAAACTATGTAAATGCAATCAAGGATATGTATGATGAGGCAACTACATGTGTGAAAGCTTGTAATGGAACATCAACTTATTTTCCTATTACAGTAGGTGTACACCAAGGTTCGGCTTTGAGTCCTTATCTCTTTGTCTTAGTGATGGATGAACTAACAAAAGACATTCAAGAGAAAGTGTCGTGGTGTATCTTTTTTGCAGATGATATTGTGCTTATTGATGAGATCAAAGACGGTGTTAATAGGAAACTTGAATTGTGGAGAAGCACTTTGGAGTTTAAAGGTTTCACGTTAAGCTGGAGCAAGACTGAGTATATGAAGTGTGAGTTTTCTCTGGTAAGAGATGAAGATCAAGACTCCGTACATCTACTTGGTCTAGAGGTACCCAAGAAAGATGCTTTTAGATACCTGGGATCAATTTTGCAAAAAAGTGGTGAGATTGATGAAGATGTAAATCATAGAATCAGAGCAGGATGAATGAAATGGCGGATGCATCTGGGTTTTTGTGTGACCGCAAAATTTCCCTTAAGCTAAAAGGAAAATTCTATAGAACAGCAGTAAGGCCTGCAATGATGGCCAGCACATAGGCAACACGAGCATAAAATGAGGATGTTAAGGTGGATGTGTGGTTATACGAGGATGGATAAAAAAAAAAATGAAGATATTCGACGAAAGGTAGGAGTAGTACCGGTAACTGAAAAGATGAGGAAACATAGATTGAGGAGGTTTGGGCACGTAATGAGACGACCCCTGGATGCTCATGTAAGAACAAAAGTTTGTTACCAAGAGCTCAACACAAAGAGAGGTAGAGGTAGACCGAAACTTACCTGGGAAAAGGTAGTTAAACAAGACTTAATGGAGCGGGATATAGATTGGCGAACAGTGTGTCTTAGGACGGAATGGAGAAAAGATATAAGCAAGGTGGGAAGGTTAAACCCGTTGTTATTTCTATGTTCCAGATAGTCCCTTTTTAATCCTTTTCCTCTTCAATCCCCCTTCTCTTTCTTTTTCCCTTCTTGTCTTTTATCTTATTTCCCCCTTCCCTAATTCATTTATTTATTTATTTATTTTGTTTTATTTTATTTTATTTATTTATTTATTTTTAATCTCCTCTTATCTATCATTGGGTTCATCTACTACTGACCCCAATTAACTTGGGTTAAAGGTGCTGTTGATGATTGATGATTAGAGCAATACCATCCTACGTGGGTTGTCCCATCACTATTCCATAATCAAGTTTCCTAAAAATCCAGAGCTCTACTTTATTTCCATGATTATGTTTTTTTTTCAAATTAGTCGTCTTTCTTGCTGTCTTTTTCTTCGAGCACTCTCTCTCTTTCTCTCCACTATGATATTGTCAATATTGTTGCTATCCTAGTAAGTGGTACGTCCCTCTGACATGTCATCATTCTGGCAGCCTCTTCTCCTCCGTCCATTGCCATTTGATTTTGTCGACAATCACACCATCAGACTCTCTAGATTGGACAATTCTTAGTGTTTTAAGGACGTACAGTTGTTCAAGACTTTGGCATGATACGTAATGAAGCCAATCATTTTGTTTTATATCGACACCAATCTAATAACCAATGTATTGAAACAACACTTATTCAAACATTTTCGGACTAAGGATCTTGGTAAAATTTAATACTTCTTAGGTATCAAGGCGGCACAGTCTATACATGACATTTCTATCTCAAAGAAAATATGTTTTAGACATCTTGGAAGAAACTAACATGCTCGGGTGCAAATCCATTGGTACACCTATGGATCTCAATATCAAATTTTACCAATATAAGGGGAGTCGTTATTGAATCCTGGTTGCCATCGAAGGTTAGAAAATTAAATTACTTTAGAATAATGAGACCAGATATCTCCTTTGTTGTAAGTTTTGTAAGTCAATTCCTTGACTTCCTTGAATTTGGCTTTATATCAAAGAAGCACCCGCAAGGCTTACTAAATGAAAAAGGGGGCATATGGAGATTTGTATATATACAAATACTGGTTGGGCAAGCTTTCCCTCGAATAGATTCTCCACTTCTGGCTACTGTGTTCGTTTCGGAGGAAACATGATTTCGTGGAAAATCAAGAAGCAAATTGTGGTTGCTAGATCATATATAGATGTTAAATATCAAGCAATGAGAACCATAACTTGTGAACTCATTGGATTGAAACAGTTTCTCTAAGAATTGAACATTTGTGAAACACAATTGATGAAACCCATTTGTCTTGACGAATATCATCTTTATTATAGAAAAAAAATTCTTCCTCTTGTTTTTCCTTTAAATGATGCTCAGGTTATTTTGCCAAAAAAAGAATATGGATCAAAAGTATATATACAATTGTTCTGCCTTTTATACTTCAGGAACTGTGAAATCAAATCAGTAGCTCCATACGGAGTTTTTGTAGAGATTGCACCTGGACGAGAGGTACATACTTCCACCTAATTGCCAAAAACATTAATATTAGATGATTAGAAACAGATATTGTTAGATTTCTTCTTGAACAAAGTTGAAGTTTGGGTTTTCTTGTGAAGTATCTTCGTTGTGTTCTATTTCTTGAATCTAAATGTTTTTGAGCTGATACCTGGATTGTCGTGTTTATAGTTAACCAGATGATTAGAAAAATGTATGTTTTGCCTTTCACTTGGCTTAAGAATGCTTTAAAAGGATTTGAAAGAAAAAAAGTTAATGCTTCGATAGAATGGTGGAATTTCCAAACTTTATAACTACTATTCGGACATTTCTTCTCATTTTGTGTAGGGACTTTGCCATATCAGTGAACTGAGTTCAGGTTGGCTACCCAAGGCAGAAGATGTAGGCATTTTATTTTGATTCCTTTCTCCAAACAAAATTTATCTTTATATGCAATTGATTATGGGATAATATTTGATTTATTTCTTCCAGGCTTTCAAAGTGGGAGATCGTATTGATGTAAAGCTTATAGAGGTATGTTATTATACATATTGTTAGCTTTAAGTCATCTTCAAAATTATCAATGGTTCTATGCCCAGATTAGTCCTAGCTTATCCTTTTTATATTGATGGTGATTCAACATAGGCTGCGTAGAATCGACCCTCACGCCTACCCTTGCAAGTCGAGGTGTCTTGTGCACCGTGGTTTGCCCTTCTGGTGATTCAACATAGCCAAGCTATTCCTTCCATTTGATGTTTGTCCTATGCTGGGTTTTTTTAGTGAGTTATGTATATGTTCATACTTGAGGGTGTTTAGTAAGTAAGAAGACAATATTCTATAGCAGCGCTGGTTAACTAAATAAATAACCATGCTTGTGTTTTGATTTGCTAGTGTTGAGGAATATAAAATAATGGTATTACTGCCTTTATGTAATTGTAGGAGTATAATTAGATAATTAGTGTTAGGCTATGTAAGAGCACCATCCAGGAGTAACGAGTAAGGACCTGTCATCCTCTCTTCATCCTCATCTATGTTCTCTCTGGTTCTCTCCCAGGCCCTTCTTTCTCAACACTAGCATACTACCAGTGGTATTAATACCACTGATTATTTGAACTAAATTTACGTGTAATTAATCAGTGTTAGTCTAATATAATTGGTTAACTAAATAATGTTATAATAACTATTGAAATTAACCATTTCTTAATTGACTTGACCACTTCCGTTTTGTGTTAAAGACTTATACTAAATGATGAAAATGTATTCAAGAATGGTTACGTGTACCTAGGTTTCATTATAGTACAACATTGTTTGCATTAAATCTCGTATACTGAGTGTGCGCTGCCACAACAATGATTTTTTTTTTACGGTAGTAAAATTTCATTTCCACCAAGCTAGCTTAACCGTAACCTAACCTAATTCTGTGGAAGAAAAATACAAAGGCTTCCACATGAATGTGTAAACAATAAAATTGAGGATGAAAGACCACAACCTTATAAAAAACTGAAATTAAGGTTCTTTTTATGAACTTAGGATTTTGTGAATCATTGATTATTTTGCCTTAATTGTCTTACCTTTTCTGTCTCCTCTGCTCTCCTCAATTGCACCTCCCACTCCCTTCTCTTCTCCTTTGAGTAGAAAAAGAAGAGAGGCGTTCTTGAGCTTAGAGCAATAATTAATTTCACTATATTTGTTGTTATTTGCTTTATATGAAAGGTCAGAACTTATTTTTTTATCCCTAAAATATTTATCCTGCAATATGATGTTTAGCTTTCATATTTCCTTTCTCGTTCTCTGTAGTGGTGACGAAGCTGAGCCAAACTTTTTTTTTTATAGATACAATTGGTTCTTTCCTTAATCATAATCTATGCCCTTTTGAAATTTCTTTTATTTATGGGATTAATCATGTTATAAGAGATATTTTATCTCCTACACACACATAAAAGTTTGTGAGGTCCACATGGGGCCATGTGAAAACAAGAGAAAGAAAAAAAAAAAAGAGTTTCACACACTTTTATGTATCTCCTATAATATGAGAAATACTAATTCCTTTATTTATTTATTGGGTTTCCTCCTTATCATTAGAACTATCTGCTGAATATGGTAAAATTGCATTTTCAGTCATGTTAGCAACCTGTTAGTCAGTTGGATTGCTTCGTGCATTATATGTTTCATTACGAACTATGTATAACTTTATTATATCTGAAGGATATGATTCTTGTGTTCATCATGATTTTACAATATTTGATTTTACTGTATCACATGGTAGGCATTCTCTCTAATGGTTTAAAGCATGCACTGCAGATAAATGATAAGGGACAGCTGCGATTTAGTCACCGAGCACTGCTTCCTAATACAGATCCAGACAATTCAAATTCAGATGTTAGACAGCCTCCTGGCAAACTAACTGAAGATACAGAAGCTTCATCAAAATCACCTGATAAAGATTTATCCAAAAATATTACCAGCTTGCCAAAAGATGGTTTGGCCGAAGAGAAGATTGAACAGCCTAAGGATAAGATTAGCAGTCCCAAAGTCACAGCCTCATCTAAAAGGAGTTCAGAGGACGATTCTGTACTTCCATCGAAAAAGTTTATCAGGAAATCTGTCAGCCCTTCCCCGGATAAGCCTTCCTCTAACAAAGACAAGATGAAGAAGAGTAGCAACAAAGCAGTTGGTAGTGTCTCTGGCAAAGATGAAAGTAGTTTGGTTAGTGGAGAGGCATGATATTGATACCCAAAGTATTTGTGAGGAAAACACAGAATAGTGGTGCTTACGAGAAAAAAATTGGTTTCATATGCACAGGCAGGCTGTGGTTGCAAGCTCATGCAAACTAACAGATGAATGGTATGAGAAACCTGTATCATTCTCTACTGATTCGTTATAATTAAATGGTTAATAAGAGAAAATTGCCAGAACTCAAACTGCTCAGCCCTGTTCAATGGCTGGCAATTTGGTAGCCACAGAAATGAATTTATTTATAATGATAATTTTCTACACCCGGCTGGCAGTTGAACTTTATGTTTTTCATAGAAAGTATACTAGCTGTCTAAAGCTATGTTTTCTATAAGCATGATTCAGGTTTTGGTGGCATCTTTTCTAATACAGTTATTTTCTTGCACTGATGGTACAGATCTTACAGACGGCGAATATTTTTTGGCACATCCTGGTGCCTGAACTGCGAAAAAAGGAACCTGGGTGACTCTTTTCCAAGGAAAACAACCTTAAGCAGGAAAGGTGAGGGAGCTTACTATCCGAAGCTCCTTTTGTATAGTCTGTATATCACTTTAATGCTTCAGATGTTTGTATATGATGATGAGTGGGAATTTTGTTTGTTTTTTCTCCCGATGATATCTCTGTATCTTCACTCTATTTATACTTATTAGTTTTTTCTTTAGTTATTGTTTGCTATGATGCTTCCCTCTAGCTCCTATTTTGGAAGTATCAAATGAAAACTTATTATGAGAGGGGAGATGTAATCTTGCATATCGCATTGTATTTGCTGCCTTTCTTTTCCCAATTGAAATTCTGGTACTTTCAGAACTCCAAACTCAAGTTTTGCCGTGTAAGCTCATTGGTCATTAGATTCTATAATACCACTATTGCTGTATTGTGACATTATATACTTTTTATAGATTCATATATATCGCATGGAACTCGAATGGCTACCTCATTATTCTGATAGAAATGTAGTTCTTTCTTTCCATCTAGATTATATTCCAAACTTACAGGGCATTTTTGTTTAGCTTAAATTTAAAAGTGTTTTTTCTTTTCTTTTTCTTTTTCGGTTAAAAGGTTTCCTAGTATCAAACGTAAAATAAATTAATGTAAACAAACCTTCAGACTTATTGGAATTTTGATTATGTTATTTGAATACAAAATAAAATAATCTAAACACATTGTCAGACTTAAATGATAATAATATTTGATGTTTAACACAACAAATGATTTTCGTTTGCCAAAATTAGCTTCACAATATCAAATATAATTAATTATCACTTGAGTTAATAGTTATTACTTTCAATTATTAATTACCTGTTCAATTAAGGAATGATTTATATTATTCACTTGTTTTTTTTTTTTTTTCTTTTGGTGGGGTTAGACATCAATATTTCACCATGGTCATGACAAACTTTCTTCTTTGAGGATTTTTAGGACGGCATAACCCACTTGAACAAGTCATTATCTCGAATTTTGATTAATTGAACTTAAATAACAAAAGTGGCAGGGTTTTCACCAAAACCTTTGGTATCTTAGAACCTGTAATCATACTAGTAGATACGTGCATTAATTGAGTAACCGAATTATTTGGTGATTAATTATTTTAAAAAATTATTATTTTTGTCTGAAAATTAAATTTGTGTTAACTACTTAACAAGTGAATAATGTGTTCTTTTAGTTAATTAAACTCTGAATCTAATTTCAAGTTATATTTACAATTTTTTAACAAGCCCCAGTTCAACCATTCACACTTGATATCATACAAATGATATAAATAACGGGGAAGACATGTTATATAACAATGACATTCTTCGTCAGAAGAAAACAAATATATATCCCTAAGCTTGAAAAGCATTCCTGCGCAGGGATTAGATTATACAAGTGGCTGAGCTGCAATATTTTCTTTGGTTTGGGATGCACACAACAGCCTTACTTTTACATAATCACAAAGAAACTAACTTCATCTCTAGCTCGCCCTCGGAAGACAGCTTCTGGAATTCTAATAAATTTCATCCACTTGCGTTGCAGGCACATAAATTGCATCTTTTAGAGAGCTATGGGTTCGGCCATAAAATACATAAACTAGTAGTCCTATTGCCAGCCATAGAGAAACACGCAACCATGTACCCCCTCTGAAAGAAAGAGACACAACAATTAGAGAAATCATTAAATTCAAGAAACAAATCTAAATAGAGAAATGCTGATTCAACTAAAAAAAATACATTGAAGAAAACTTATTATAGTTTGTCCACATCCCTCTTCTTTATTCTTGTACGTTCAATTGTAGTTTATTTTAGGACATGAAGATCTCGTTTCAAAACCAAACAATAGAGATAAAAAGAAAAAATATGAAAAGAAAAATTCCATTCTGGTTCCTTGAATTGCAGGAAATTGTAGTTGTAGAACAGTAACAGTTTTTTATTTTATTTTATCATAAACTATAGGAAAAACTTCAAAAACCCCCGAGTCTTCTTAATTATCACTTACCCCCCTCACAATTTTTTTGAATCATTTACACCCTTATTTAGATTTTTTTTATCACTTACCCCCCTCATCTAAGGGGGTAAATGATAAAAAAAAAACCTTAGGTCAAGAGGTAAATGATTCAAAATTTTGGGGAGGGGGTAAATGATTATGAGGAAAGTTACAGGTTTTTTTTTGAAGTTTTCCCTAAACTATAATTATGAAACAAGGAGGAAATATATTTTATTAAAAGAAACTAAAGAGGAGTTTTTCCAATTAAAATCACAAAAAACTATCAGTTGTTATGCATTTAGAGTTCCTCACCTTCTCCTATTACTCAGCTGATGATACAACTTTGTTACCATGAAGGCAGACATAGCAGAAAGAGAATGCCAGCCATATTCTGATATTCATTCTAAAAATGATTATAAAAAAGAAACTCATCCCTCTTAGTTACTTTAAGATCTTGAAATCAAATCACTTCCTTCACTTTCAAGAGTTCATATCGATGGATAAAAACTAAACTTTCCAACTGGTTCCCCCATTCCATACACAAAGCTTGACAGAAAAAGTACTTAAAAAAATGGGCTTGATTAACCATATGCATATTTAACATGTAAAAATTAAGTATTAATGCTTACCCAAGATTAATAAGTAAGTAGGAATTGATGAGAATGCAAGCAATGGGAAGCAGTGGCACAAATGGGCAAATGAAACCTGAAAAGAGATTACTAATAAAGTTATTTCTCTTAAACTGAACAGGATTCATGGCCAACCTTTCTACAGTTTGTTTAAATGGGTACTATAGAACGCTTGTTCTATACACTCCATGTCTGACACTAAAAGATCCGCATGACATCTATATTAGTTGACAGGAATGAGAAACACACTCACACAACACATATAAATTTATCAAACACAAGAACATCATGGTAAGGCATACCTCCAGAGTGCCCAAAGTTGTGCCTTGCATCATCTTGATCCGTATAGGTTAGAAATACAAGACCAGACAAAAGAAGAGTACCGCCAACTCCACATAATGCAAAGCGAACAGAACTGGAAATAGCATAAAACAATGCTTAAAAAACTTAAGAACATCAAGCAATCCTTAAATGGCATGACAAACACTAACAAAGTGCATAAATCAATTGTGGGATAAGGCCAAGTCCATAAATAGCCACCTCCTTGCATTTCAAATGAGCCACCAAACTATTTAGAGATCTTGATTATGTATCAAGAAATTCTCATTGCATGTGCAGCTTGAGAAAAGCTATAACAATCTTCCACTAGACTAACCTAAGAAGAGTCAAATCTGAAGCTGCATACGTGAGGACAAGCGCCCCTAAGCATATGAATGCTACGATCCACCCAATAACTCTTCGTCGATTACCCTTGTTTAGATCTGCACCCATTAAAAAAAAAAACTCCATTAAACCCTGACTAGTGAGAGGTATAAATGAGGACAATCCTTGTACGCAGCTGTAAAGAACCTTGGGATACACCACCCCAAAAGCTAGCTCAAAGGGTGGGAGTGCACAAAGCGTTATAAACTCCACATTAGTTGCTCATACAACCAATGTGGGACTATATATCTCAACACGCCCCCTCACACAAGAGCCCATTAGGCTTGAAGAGTGGACAATGCAACAGGCCCAGCCTACCTGTGCTAAGAAACGCCACAAGAGAAAGTGGAGGGCGGCGATGCTTTGATACCATGTAAAGAACCTTGGGATACACCACCCCAAAAGCTAGCTCAAAGGGTGGGAGTGCACAAAGCGTTATAAACTCCACATTAGTTACTCATACAACCAATGTGGGACTATATATCTCAACAGCAGCTTTATCCTTACATATTTGCAAGGAAGTTGTTTTCTGGATTCGAACTCATAACTTTACAATTACAAAGGAGCAATTTTACCATTGCTCACACTCACCCGCACCAATAAAAAAATTAAAATAAAATAAAATTAAGGAGACAAACAACCCCCAACTGTGTATTATGAACCCAAGTGAATTGGTGTAATTTACTTGAGCAACATAAATTATATATCTTAAGCACTAAATTTACATTATTTAGGATAGAGATTGGGAAAGAAGGAAAGCCATAACTTACGGTTGCCTATGGCAAGATGTTTAGCAATAAGTGGATAAGTAATTGAAACATCCTCCTTAACAACTAAAGGTTTTTCGTCCTCATAAGTACCAACATTTGCCTCTGCATATCCTTCATTGCTCTCTGCGCTGCTCAAACTATTTTGCATTGACACTGAAGCAGTTGAATCCTGGAGAGAAGGAATCAATGGGACTTTATCTGGAGGGATATATCTTAGAACCAACACAGATATTGCCACCATGGTGAATGCTAGAAGTGTACCCACACTAACCTGCAGGAGAAAAACTAAATACATATTAGTACAAATAATATTATACATACAAAACAGTAAAATTCCTTTTAGATATGATAGTCAAAGAACCTTTCAGAGAAGACCATACATGCCATCAGAACTACCTTAGGAATGTTTACAAAAGAGTGTGGAACAGAAAAAAATAAAATAAAAAAATCCTGGATTTACAATGGAAAAGTCAATGGCTTCTCCATGTAGGTTGTTCTAGCTAGATTGAAACTCTGTTGACATATTCAACATTATAAAGATAAACCAACAGCCCCCACTTCTTAAACACGTTCCTTGTACACTTGTAATTGAAGAATCATGGCTTCCTGGCGTCATGACTCTTATAAGTTATAGCGAGTCACCATGCTAATACAGGTTTGTATAGTGCATGATGTCAATTAGTACTGAAATATGTATACATTGAAGATAATAATCCTAGCAAACAAGTTCCGGGAATCCTAACTGTCTCAAAATTGGGCTTACCATCCCTGCCAGTTGAGAGACTTCCATAGAAAATGCCAAGACTGCAGCAACAAGGCCAGTAACTATTGTGCCCTTAACAGGAACCTGACTGTGCTTATTTATGTCAGAAAAAAATGGTGGCAGTAGCCCATCCCTTGCCATAGCCATCAAAATTCTTGGCTGAGAAACATTAAACAAAGCACATTTATAATTTTGCCCGGCAAGTTAAATACTTCAGAAGAAAAATGGAAAAAAATTGTGATAACTGGAACAAGTAATGATAGCATAAACCAGCAAAAGAAAAGCAGCTTATATTTGAATATGATGATTCAAATGAAATTCAGTAGACTACACCTAGGTCTTCTAGTCCATCACACGATTGTTTAATAATCAGGCTAACTGGCCCATAGAAATAACGAAGTTACGCAAATCCCAAGTTAACACCTATCACAATGTACTCAATACAAATATCTTTTTCCCTCTTCATCGAGAATTCATTTCATTATAACAAATACAGAGCTTTCTAAAACAAGAAAAGATACATCACTGATATGAGAATCTAAAGTTTTCCATTTGTTTAATAAAAATCATACACTTCATTCCAAACCCACTAAGAATTATATTTTCCCATAATAATGGTAATTTAATAAGTGCCTCAACAATATCTGATTTTAACCATAACTAGTATTCAAGATATGAAGGTGAACAATTTTCACCTAATATAGACAAATTGCATATTAAATATATGCCATTGACACTGAAGAAGAATAAAAGAATAAAAAATTTCAGAGGTTCAATATAGAAACAAAACACACCAAGGTTTCCATTCCTTTACCTGGGGAAGTATCCCACCCATTAATGCTGAGCAGAGAGCTGTGGAAGCTCCAGCATTTATAATGTAACTACAATCACAAACAGGAAACTTTGTCTTTGGCACCTACTACATCCATTGAGCTATCAAAACTTCATGAAGAATCAGATGCAAAGTAAAGTTGCAGAATAATAAACTCACGCTGCCCATTGCATCCCATGGTCAGCAAATGCAGAGGATATGGGAGTATCCGGATCAATTGCATAATAAGGTACTAAACCAATTACAACAATGGAGACCATCATATACATTCCACAACAAAGAAACAGTGCACCTCCAATACCGAGGGGCAAATCTCGTTGAGGATTTTTCACCTGTTGATCAAGTGAAACCTTATCAGGAAGTTTGCACAGTTGAACATCCTCAATTATATATCAGACTGCATGACACTATCATCTATACCTCTTCAGCAGTGCTGGCAATTGCATCAAAACCTACATATGCAAAGAAGACTGTTGCAGAACCAGCAAGCATCCCATTAACCCCAAAGGGAAAAAACCTATTAAAGCAAAAGGGACAAGTTTTCAGTCACTAGAAACCAAACCTATATGGTAAGTGTAAAACAAAGATTTAAAGTACCCATTAAAAGTACCCTGAAGGAAGTTCATATCCAACCCATCCAGACTTGAATCCTATGTAACCACCTGCTGCTACGACAAAAAGCAATGCACATACATTCACTGATGTGACTATGCCTTGTACCACTGTACTCTGCATGTGTTAAGCAGTCAAAGCTAAAAAGAACTCTCAGAAAAATATATTTGGATATTTTAGTTTGAAAAATAAAGATTTAAATTTGAATGGGTATGCACAGTGCTCACAACTCATGCGCAAAGGATGCATATAAGTTACAGGAACCAAAAAGAAAAGAAAATCTAGCTCATACACTCAAGAAATACAAACTAAATAAAATTTCAAATAAAGTTAGAATAAAAAAGATTATAATAGAAACCTACCTCCTTGATCCCTACACATAGGAGTCCAGTAACAATTAATACCAAAATTGCTGCACATGGGTCCACTACAATATCGATCCCAGGAATACGTTGGCGTGATAAAAAGATGGGTAAATTGTCCACACCACCAAAGAGTGCAGCCTAATCAGAGACATATATGTATATCTCATGTCAATATTCGATAGTTAGGTCAGATAAACTTGCAATTCAAACCAGTAAATCAGCTGGTTTGTTATATTAAGACATGGAAAACATCCAATAGAAATTCCGAACTTTCAAAAACAAAATTAGAATATTTGTCACACTAATACACAAATAAAAATTCATTTTATTCGCAGCAATTCTGAAGAAATAAAGTGATTTTGCCAGATGGCAAGCCATATTATCCTTTCTGATTCATATACTACATGAAAAATAAAGTGAAAGACAAATCAAGCTCAAATTATTAGAAATATAGAAGAAAAACCATAAACTTAAAGTTGGACTTGGATAATATAATCAACATACTCTAAGGCAAACAAAGACTCAATATAAGAGTTACAATGACACCATACCATATTGGGGGATATGCCACGAGCAACAGCAGCACTACCAAGTGTATATTCCAGTATCAAGGCCCAGCCAATCAACCAAGCAACACTGGAAACAAAGGAATCATTTCTATTAATCAACAATGACATCAATTTCTTTTAATCAACATACCCCAAATTGCCATATTAAAAAATAAAATCTTCGGTACTCACGCAATACATACTCCTTTACTAAAACAAAAATAAGTTGGACTCCCATAAAAAGTAGGTAAAATAAATACAAGTAGGTGGGTTATTTTCACTGACTATGAGTATGTATTATCACCATAATATTATGACTATGAGAAATAAAGGAACCACCAAATAAGGCACCAAGTCATTAGCTCTGCACAAGCACTTTAACACTGAATAAGCAAAGTCAACATGCATACTTAGAAGGGCAAAGAAGAAATGGGTGAAAATTTTTGAAGCACATGGAAAGAGAAAGAGTACCCTTCCCCAAGACATATGTATGAATAGTGATATGCACTCCCAGCAGAAGGGCAGCGACTAGCCAGCTCTGCATAGCAAAAGGCTGAAAGACCAGCTGCTAATCCAGCAATCAGAAAAGAAATGGCCAAAGCTGGTCCAGCATGCTCTCGAGCAACTGTTCCAACCAGAACATACACTCCAGCACCAATTGTTGAACCAACACCTTATCAAAACATGTCAAAGTCAATTTGCAAAAATAGTTAATAACCAAATGTATGCTAGAGACAATAGAGTGTGGAATAATAAAATGAAAATCAAACAATGTAAACAAAGGTTGTCCTATGATTCAAGGTCCAAACATGACGAACATAAACCAAACATTTTTCTACTTAACAACACCGAATTCCAAGGAAAATCAGCAAAATCCCAAGAACCCCAGATGAAAACACGATTCAAAATGAAACCTTTTTTTTTTTTCTTCTTAAAAAGATGAACAGAAGAGAGAGAGAGAGTGAAATTGAATTGATTACCAACTGCAATGAGATGAGGAACAGTTAACTCCTTGGCAAGCAGACCCTGAGTGTTCCTAACTGAAGAATCAACCTGCTTCCTCCTAGTAAAAAACTTCATGGAACCCTTTTGTGATTGTGAACCAATCGAAACACCCATCAAAGAAAAAAAGAAAAAAACACACACACCAAAATTTGCTCAACCACAAAACCAAGCTTCCCAGTAAAGGGAAAATCAAAGTAATAAATGATTGTTCCAAGATCACAGTACACGACAAAACTAATCTAAGGTGGCCAATTAATATGCTCTCATTCCAATGATTGATTGTAGGAAGAATCAGGAGGAACAAGGAATTCCCCGTTATTTAGCGGCAGAGTTGTTAACTTCTTGTTACGGGGGGGGGGAAATGGGGTTTTATTATTTGAAAAAAAAAAGGCAAAAAAATAAGAAAAAGAAGTTGTTCGTCGTTATTGATTTTGTGTATCGTAAGAAATTATTGCGAAGCTACGATGACGATGATAACACCATTCATTCATTCTAAGTTCTGTTCTGTGCTAATGCATGATGCTCTTCTTTATCTATCATCACGTGTTCTCATTGCATTCATTTATTTTTATGTGTAACTATAATATAAAAAATATTAAACCCTTATTTAATATAATTATATAAATATTTCATTTTCAACTTTTTGTGATTTTTAACTGTTATATGGTTGTCGTGTCTGCTATATATGTCTATTTTGAACAAAATTCTAAGATATCATCTCATCTAACTAAATTATATATTTAAATAAAATATATATATTTTTATAAGTGAAATAATATCATTTCATTTTCACGTGTTATATATATATATATATATATGGGTCCGTCGTTTCTCATGTGGCTGCTGATGAGAAAAGTTGCAGCAAATTTTTAACACTAGGATACACGTGCGGATCCTATCAAAACAAAAAAAAACAAAAAAAATCCAGGCTTCGAACGCGTATCCTGTGTTGCTGCAAATTTTCCCTTCTGCAGTCACATAAGAAGTACTTTCCCCTGTATGTATGTATACAGGGATAGGATCAACTTACACCGGTGTAAGAATAATAAATCTTACACCAAATCATAACCGTTGATTTCTGTGCATCGAACGGTTGAGATTTATTGGAAATTAAAAATTAATTAATGAGTGAAACCTAATAAATCTTAACCGTTAGATGTAGAAAATCAATGGTTAAGATTTGGTGTAAGATTTATTATTCTTACACCGGTGTAAGATGATCCTGCCCCATGTGTGTATATATATATATATATATATATATATATATATATATATATATATGGGATAGGATCAACTTACACCGGTGTAAGAATAATAAATCTTACACCAAATCTTAACCGTTGATTTCCGTGCATCCAATGGTTGAGATTTATTGGGAATTAAAAATTAATTAATGAGTGAGAAATTGTTATAATTGAAATATATATATATATGTTTGCGTACTGTTCAGGGAATCATTGAATGTTTGAACAGGGTTATAATCATTCAACGACGGAATAATAAGAATGTTTATGGGAATGTATGTTCGGAAAGTATTTTCAATACTCCGTGGTATAGACATTATTGGTTAAAATTGAAAAAAGTAATTCATTAAATTTTTATTTATTCCATCCACATTTTTATGATTAATTATTTAATTAGAATAATATTTCTGCAGTAGCTACTGTCAGATAAGTTATCTGTATTTATTCCCAAAATGACGTCGTTTTAAGATTGAAAAATTAATAATCATAATAACCTTGAAATAAATTAAAATTACAAAAGCATCGTGATTTCTGTCCTAAAACAACGTCGTATTAAGCTTACTGCAGATAACTTATGTACAGTAACTGCGAAAAAAGCGAACCCTTATTTTTGGTCATTTAATACCAAAAGAGTTTTTTCTTTTTTTTCTTTTAATATGTTGTATGTTGGATGCATGAAATAGACATGTAAAGCTCTTTTATTGCAATTTTGCCAATTTTGTTTTGCAAAGTTCAGTGTTACACCTATTAAATTTAGGAAAATACATTTACAAAAAAAAAAAAAAATAATTAGGAAAATATTATTTATCTAATTAATATTTATTTCACACACTTCGTTATTTTCACTCACTTTTTTAAAACATTCAAGTAATCACTAATACATTTAAATTTAAATAATCTTAATGTAGTATTATAATATCAAGTGGTAGTCTTTCTTTTCTTAAACTTTCAATTAAATAATGTTTTAATATGTCCTTAGGCATTTATCTTATGTCCTTAGTCTTCACCTTCATTCTGTATCAGAAATGCACTTATCTTAGGCATTATTTTTGTATTGAGTATTTTTCGTGGTGCTCATTTGTTCGACAAACTAGAGAGAGATCACACTGATGGAAACTAGGTTAACTTCATTAATAACTCTTTTGGTTAATCTAAGCTGAATCAAAGACATAATCTTCAAAACATACTAAGTTGTAATTATTATAAAAAAATTCCACTTAAACTCTCAAACTCAAGTACATTGTCTCTAGTCTCACATAAGCAATTGGTTATAGACTAGACCTCTTCTAATGTTAAATTTTAAGCCAAAAGAAAAAAGAAAAGTCTCTTCTGATGTTACATGGTACTTAGTACCTTTAAATGTATTGCATTTTCTTTGTACAGTTAAATATATTATACCACTTGCTTAAAAAAAATAAAAACAATTGAATAATCATAGTTATCACCCATCTGATATGGGAAACAAAGTCTTGGCTTTAGAATAGGAAATTTACAAAATGATGTAAGATATGTAAGGTGGCAATTAGTAACGAATGGATAGTATTAATATATGGGAAAAAGAAGTATCATTTAAAAGGACACAACTTGTGTCCTTTTAGATGATTTACACAAAGTATAATCGTCATATTTTGTGTAAGTCACTAAAAGGATAAAATTTGTATCCTTTTAAATGACACACACTAAACCTTTAATATATACAATAGATAGGGACCTGAAGTGAGGTAACCCTGATGCCTGCTGTGTAAATACTATGATACATTATCTGCTTGAGTGCGAAGGATTTTATTGGCACGTGCTGAAGGAACATAGATTGCATTTAACAGTGAGCTGTGATTGCGGCCATAGAACAAGTATATAAGTACTCCTATCAACAACCATACTGAAACTCGTAGCCATGTATCAACTCTGAAATTCAAACACAAGAATGATTAGATGTTGGTGCTTATGTTATGCATGCGTGCCCCAACAAAAGAGGAAGGTGTGGTTGTCAAGAGATTTCTCACCCAAGATCAATTAGTAAGTAGGTGTTTATAAGAATGCAGAGAGCAGGTAAGAATGGAACAAATGGGCAAACAAAACCTGAAATACAAGGTGTCAAAACCATTGTGTAAGATTTAACCAAAGCTTCTTGTTATATGGAACTAACAAAAAAAAAAAAAAAAAAACAATGAACTAGCAGTTAAAGGATTGTGATACACTGCGTACAAAGTTCGTAAAGATGATAAAGAGCAAATCCTGGTGCACAAGACTTCCCGAATTGCAAGGGTAGGGATGAGGGTTGATTATAGGCAATTTTACCCTTATATTTTTGTAAAGAGACAGTTTCCTAAATTCAAACCCGTGATCTTTTGATCACAAGGAGGTTGGTTCGTCCTTATTTAATAAAATAATTTATTCATTCTTTTTTTGATCTTGCAGCTTTGCTAATTATAAGATGCCAGAGAAAGGAAACTTCTGAATAGGAGCTAGCTACTAAAATTGTGACCAGTTCTAAAATGAGTTTAACAAACCCATCAAAATCTGATAAGTTGAGATATCTAGACTTGTCTACTACACATACCTCCTGAGTGTCCAAAGCTGTGCCTCGTATCATCTTGCTTCATGCAGGCCAGCACAATTATACTGCACAAAAGAATAATTCCACCCACTCCGTACAATGTTAAACGCAAAATCCTGCATATGCACAATCACGAAAAGGGAACACAAGTAAGGATAAAGAACACTTGATGAATTTAAAGACATAATTCAAATTGTTAACTCCAACGAAACACTTTTTTTTGGCCAAAATTTATACTGCATGATTTCATACTTATTGCATAGAAATCAGATAGCAATTGTAGAGTTATATTTAGTTGAAATGCATTCCTGGAAAGAACACCAGGATAATATCCACACTGTTACTTCAAAACTAGTGAGGATTGTCTAAGTTGGCAGACCTGGGACACCTGTCAGCTGAAGCTGCACTGGCAACCATGAGAATCCCAATACACAGAAGGGTTATGGTCCATGCAGCAATTTTCCGCCTAGTTTTCTCATTCTGTTCATCTGTATAAACAACTCAAAACCGAAGTTCGTTATCTAGCAAATCATAGAAAATGGAGGCAAAGGTTGACACAAAAAATATCAAATATATACCAAAAAAAAATTTAACAGAAAAATTTATTGCCAAGATTGAAACTAGGCATGTGTGTGTGAAATATAGATTGGAACTTTCAAAATTAATGTGTCTTAAAAAAAAGATACTTGAGAAACTCTTCTTCAACAAAATGTGAGCATTAAATTGCTCTACATTATTGACTCTTCAAGATAGTCTTTTGAGCCAATCCCCAAAAGGACCAGACTATCAAGTTGGGCCTAATTATGGAACATTATTGTCTCACATGGTAGAGGAGCACTAACACTGCAATGCCCAACAATAGATGGTATAGAAAGTTACAGCAAAATTACAAGAATTACAAAAATGGGTTCAAACAAGAAAATGACCTAATGCATACTTTGAAACCTCCAATACTAATTTCTAACATTACTAGTAGATTATTTCTATCAATATTCTAGTCAGCCTGACTAATTTACATATCCAATCCTATAGAAATAATCAACCAATAAAAGGGTTGTTCTATCTACACGCAGAATTGCAAATACAGCAGAGACATCTACATTCGGAAATTTATCCAAATTCATTCCATAAAAAGGCCGGAAGATTCGAACAGTAATTACCTTTGGTTATTTCTTTTATGATTAAAGGATGTCGAAGCAGAGAGTCTGACATGTCAAGCAGAGGATCTGTGGGACTAATGGCACTATCTTCCTCAATATCATCACCAGAATGCCTCACTGATGGATCAACAGATGTTAGAAGTGAAGATGGAATGGGTACCTCATCAGGAGGAACATATCTGATTATCAAAACTGAAACTGCAACGGTGGTAAATGCAAGCAATGTTCCCACGCTAACCTGTATTCCCAAAGAAACGAATATAACAACTGATATATGTTTATAATAATCTAAGAAAGATGCATCTCCCTAGTTATTGTCTTGTCTCAAGTTATTGTACAACTGAACTTACCATCCCTGCTAACTGGGAGACATTCATAAAGAATGCGAGAGCAGCTGCGAAGACACCGGTGACAATAGTGCTTTTCAAAGGAATCTGTGTGCCTTTATGGATGTCTGAGAAGAAAGATGGTAACAAACCATCCCTAGCCATTGCCATAAACACTCGCGGCTGCAAAACATATATGCCATTGGAAAGATATATTTATCATGTGCAAGAGACATAATTTACAATAACATTATCAACACACGCTGGCATATCTATGCATAGACACGTGTATATATACAGATGTACATCTGATATTCAAGAGTCAACTAAAAGGTACCTGTATTGGTAGCACTACACGTTGACAAACTATAGGATTGCGAAATTAGACAATATTCTAGTAACAGCAGCAAAAATTATACATAAAAATAAACACACGGCGACATTTAAAATTAAGAAATAAATTGATGCTAAGGCATCCCGTGAATTTTGGAGTACAAACTATGCATGCGGAACTCATGCATTTTATACCAAAAGATTAAATCTGAGAAACAACAAAAAAGAGTTGACAGATAGATTTCAACGACTGGCAAGTTAAAGAAAATGCATTTGGATCAAATCATGTTTGCAAGTCAAAACATGACCTTATACCAAAGATGAATGTCCCAGGACAGAAATTAGTCAGAAGTTATTTTGTGGGGAAATTTTCGAGGAAAATGAACAGGGTAATATGATATAAAGCAAAAACAGCTTCCTTGAACATACATTAATGCCCTTCAAATTTCAATCACATCCATCTTTTCTTGATGTCTTCAATAAAATCCTTATGCGATGATATATTTGTCATATAATAATTTTAATTATCTAATTCAGAAAAAATTTCATATACTTTAATTGTCATATAGCAGCATGATGATTTTAAAAGTCATTTCCTATATTTTCAACATGCGAAAAGGGAAATAGGTAAATCGAATTGCTAAACAAGAGGATAAAATTGCTCTATTGAGGATTGAAAGAGCCATAGGAAGTTTTCCATGCCAGTGTTTTTTAGGAATATTGCAACCGAGTATGAAATTCGAAATGTAATAACAATAGCAGTTCCTGACTTCCTGTTACAACATTTCTTCTCATGCTAGACCAGAACATTCAGGTAGTATCATAACGACAATTAAAAAAAGAAAAGAAAAAAATCCAGTAACAAATCAGGGCATAGATGAAATGGAAAAGATATTTAGAGGTCATGAAAATTCAAAACCAAAACCTAACAACCAGCCATAAATAAGTAAGCGATCAACAGAGATGTAAAACAAATTAAGTCTTACGCGCTTGTTTATGTACCTGAGGAAGAATTGAACCCAACAAACTGGAAAAAAGAGCAGTGACAGCTCCAGTTGTTATTATATACCTGTCATGGGGAAAACAGAGCTTCAAGCATAATATTCAAAAGAGACATCCATATATTTAGAGTTAGTCTAAACAATGAAATAGTGTGCCACAGCAAACCTTACACTGCCCATTCCATCCCATAGCTAGAAAATGCTGAGGAGATTGGGGTATCAGGGTCCAACTCGTAATATGGTACTAAGCCAACAATAACTGCTGATACAAGCATATACAGAATGCAACATATAGCTAATGCAGTTGATATGCCAAGTGGCAAATCTCGTTGAGGATTTTTGACCTGCATGATAACAAAACAAAATCCTTAAACAAGTAAATCTTCAAAAGAATTTTGTTTCACAATGCCAGCATCCCAAAGCAATGATGCTTTAGAGATACTCAAACTACCAGACAGAGATATATGGATATAGCAGTAATACATGAAAAGAACTAGCTCTAGATCTTCAACAAATAAATTTATTCTTATTTTGTTTATTTTCCCGGGGAAGATCAACAAGTTCCCACTCACAAGCTTATACATCAACTTTTAGAAGCAAAGGAAAAAGTAGAGAATGTCAGTCACCAGGGTCTTATTACAATGTGACAACTACAAGGAATACCCCAGCCTAAAAAATACTAGAGTAATGAGAGGTTTCACAGTAGGAGTTAGGTTTTTGTTCAACATATTAAATGCATTGTGCAACAATGCATTGTATGCTTGATTGATGCGTTTTGCATTTAGTTTCTGCCAATACAATTAAGTCATGACTTAAAAGATCAGTCCCCGTAGTGGATATTTACCTCCTCAGCTGTGCTGGTCACTGAATCAAATCCAATGTATGAAAAGAAAACTATCGCAGACCCAGTAAACATCCCATTCACTCCATAGGGAAAATACCTGAGATATAAGAGACAATTTCAGCTATATCAAAAAGAGGTATGCTATAGATGATGAGCTGAACATTGCAGACACAAACACAATCATTACCCATTAGGGAGTTCATATCCAACCCATCCAGACTTGAAACCTAGATATCCACCAGTTATAATGATGAAAAGCATGACAGAGACATTTACTGTTGTCACTATGGACTGTGCCATTGAACTCTGAAACATCAATGTCAAATAAAGTAGGTAAGTGCGAAAAGAAAAAAAAGTGGTTTCCGTGTATATATTTTATTTTAAAAGGTATACCTCCTTGATTCCAAGGCACAAGAGTACGGTAACAAGAAGAATTAATACAGCTGCACATGGATCAACCACAACTCCAAGACCTGGTAAGGTATGACGAGCCAGAAATAAAGGTAGGTTGTCCTCACCTCCGAAAAACAAGGCCTGCAATAAGCAAGAACAAAATTAATACAAAACTGAATTGTTACGTATGTTGTGCTTGTTGGATACAAGTGTCATAAAATGCACGACTCCTGATAATCCATAACTCATATGTGTTTAATTACTCTCTTTGTATATTCTCAATTACAAAGGTTCCATGAACATAAAAAAGAAAATATATATTTAGAGTTTAGAAAAAGAAAAAAAAAAGTTGAACACACCAAATTTGGGGTTATGCCACGAGCAACAGCCGAAGCACCAATTGTGTATTCTAGAATCAAGGCCCAACCCACCAACCAAGCAACCCTGAGATCAATAGCAATGTCTAAATCATGGATTTACTAACAATGATGAAAAACAAATAGAGAAATCATAACCATTCAAATATCTCCTTTAAGTACAATTTTTAAAAGAAAAAAACATAAAGCCATTTACTCACATAAATAGCCTCACTCCACAAAAGGCAGTTGGCAGCAGGATAGCACTAAATAATTATTCTGTTAATATTGACAAACCTAACAATATATTTCTTCAACTCACATGAGCTGTTCAGCTAAACATTATACCTAAACTTTTTTTCCAAAATAGGAAAAAATTGTAACTTACCCTTCTCCAATGCATATGTATGTATAATGATAAGCACTCCCCGCAGACGGGCATCGACATGCAAGCTCTGCATAACAAAAAGCTGATAGTGCAGCAGCTATTCCTGCAATGAGAAGTGATATCACAAGTGCTGGTCCCGCATTCTCTCTAGCAACTGTTCCAATGAGAATATACACTCCAGCTCCTATGGTAGCTCCAACCCCTGATTTTCAAGAATGGTTAATTACCTTTAGGAAAGTAAATGTTCGGTAAAAAGAAACTAAAGCCCATACTCACTAGAGAAAACATAAATTAAAAGTTGGCAATTGTGCATGTTATGTTAACTAAGCCACAGTGTTTCTTGATAAGATCCAAAAACTCAACCAAGAAAACTTAAAAGAGAAAAGAACAATTAATCCACTTTATGGGGGGCTTCTCTTGGCAAATTACACAACATCCTTAGAACTTTAAAAATCTTAAGCACAAGTGCTTAACTAATCGGTGTTATGGCCATAAAACTATGTCTTTGCAGAAGCAACAATAGTGCCTAGCTCTTATTACCTTTTGATAATGTAACTTAATCAAACAACTAATTTTCAATAAAGCTTTGATGTTTCTTCATTGTGCCATGTTAAGTTGACCTAATTATCCTCAATTAGCACCACTATCAGTAAGAAAGAAACATTTTCATGCTTCTATTCTAGTTGTACAAATGCACCCCCTCCACAATGAATAAAGGATGTGCATGGTCAACTCAAATCCTCTGCTATGTTCAATACTTCAATTTATATGGATGATATTTTCAATGCTCACACATCAAAACATTGACCCTATAGTTTCCACACAAAACATGATTTAGCTTGTAAAATTACTTTCACACAAGACCTTTAAACATTTTTCCAGTTTATGCATACCCTAAATTGCCTGGGAGAATGCTTCTCGACTACCTGTTCATTGAACTGAAGATAGGAAACCCAACAACCACAGACAACAAAGACAATCACATTGTTTTTCCTGAATACATTCATCCTGATTTTGATAAGTTCTTATCCCATGAGATTTCTAAGTAACTTTAAATCATTAGATTTTCTTCAGGCGTTCCATATTCTGCATAATTCCCAATCTGAATCTAAAATCAACCCCACACTTCTTCACTATTTTCCACCCCAGTAACATACACAAGACACACCAAAGCAACATTTTCATATTTATAAAAAGAGGAGGGGGGGGGATCAGTAAAATGATAGCAAACCCATATAAAAATTAGCATAATGGGCAAAATCAAAGCACTTCATTGACCTGCATCAAATTAAAAAATAAAATAAAAGAGGAAGGCAAAATCAATCATCCATAACAAACAGAAGTATGCATTACAATATCATATACTCCAAAGTCATGACATCTACTTAATTCATTCAGAAACAATTTCACTAGTCTAATTCTCCATTTTCCTTCTTAAAAGTTGTGGAATTGAACAATTACCAATTCCAACGAGATCAACAGCAGATAACTTCCTAGCCAATTGAGCATGTCTCCTGACATGGACAGAATCAACTTGCTTCCTCCTAATCAAGCTTCCAAAACCTCGTAACCATCTTCCTCCTCCTCCACCATTTCCAACCTTCACAATCATTATCCTAAACCAGTATAAGTATTACTAAGTATTAATGCTATTTTCTGATCAATTTTATCTTCTCCTGCACAAAGGAGCAAACTTTGATGAACCCCACAAAATTTTTTGCCCGGAAAAAGTTATCCAATGCCACCCTCTTCCTCTCTCGCAGAGGGAAAGAGAGAAGCTTGGGACGAGATGAGTCAGCAACGGTTGCGTACGGTGCAAAAATGTTTGTTGCTGTGTGATTCTCTCCTGCAAATTGATTATATTATATTATAAATAGATAGGATATTATTAATATTAATTAATATCTTATCCCGTAATTATTATTACAAAAAAATATTTATACAATTAGTACATATAAGTTATATGTATTTATTCTCAAAACGACGTCATTTTGAAATTGAAATATTAAAAATTTATAATTATAAAGACTATAATAACCCTGAAATAAATTAAAATTATAAAAACACCATGATTTTAGCCCAAAACAACGTCGTATTATGCTTAGTGCAGATAACTTATTTGCATTAACTGCAGAAAAAGCGAACCCTTAATATTAATATCACTATCGGTTTCTTTTAGGGTTGGATAGATTATATTGATTAAATGATTATATTTATTTTCATTTTTATATAATTAAAATTTCTCAGATGAAAAATTCAATATGAGAAATTATAACTATATAAAAGTGAAAATAATATAAAGTAATTAAATATAAGTAGAAGAAAGAAAATTTTTAAAAAATTAAATCAGAACCGTTAGATCAACATAATTGATCTAACGGTAAAATAAATTAATGATGATATTGATAATAATAATAATAATATTCTATCTCTGTTATAAATACTCAGCCAATAGATTTATTTTTTCTTCCCTTGATTTTTTATTTATGCAATTGTTGATGATAAAAAGTTGAAAACATTAGCGATAAAATATTCATTTTTTGCAACGCAATGTCAATCATGTTTATCTTATGCACTTCGTGACGGATTTTCATTGACATACCTATTTCGGCATGATTCTTTTTTCCTTTTTTTGGGACTCTGAGTATAAGATTAAAAAAAAAATATTTTCTATTTTAGCTATTGATTTTCATTCATTTAATGATTATAGGTATTTAAAATACTGATGACAAAATTGTAATTATCTATTCTCTTGCACTTATTATTGTTTGAGTAATTTAGTGAATTTATTGTTTCAACGAAGTCCAGCTTTTGGGTGTATCATGATTCATGAGAAGGTTTATAAGTTTTGTAACTTAATCTATACATATATGTCCCGATGGCCCAAGTACTGGAGTGACCCAACTACTCAGGCCCAACTACTCAGGCTCAACCCTCAGCCTTGTTCCGCGTCAGTCCTTAGGGCTGATATAGACCCTCACAATCTCCAAGACTGCAGCACGTCCAAGAGATACACCAAAATGTCCCACTTCGGGACATTAACCGCTAAAGGCAGTCGCCATAAGCACTGCAAAGGAATCAGCCCCTTTGTTCAGTGCTGACATCGCCGGGTGCAGTGGTTGCAGCACTGCCATTGTGGCAGCGCCAACCACGCCTAACACTGCCATATCATGGGTGTGCATCCCAAGAAGGGTTGACCCCCACATCACCAACCTGCATCATCTTCCTTATAAATAGCCCTCATGGGGCACACCAGAAGATATCTTTTATGTACTGTTGTTATGCCCATTTACTTCCAAGTCATACTCTTATTATTTGTCTGCCATTGATATCAGCTTGCTACCTCTTGGAATAATACCTTCTAGCCTGGTCTTTACCTCAGCTAGGGGTATAATCCATATAATAACATTACTCTCAAGGGTACATAGTGGGCTCACAGAACTGAACGGTACATTGGCGCCGTCTGTGGGAAACGATAAACTTCTATTCCCATTCTCTTACCCAAAGATCCATTTGACAGGTCATTTCCTCTTACAAACAAACAACCGCCAGACACTTTTTACAACTCTACATGGTTGTCACCATCAGGAGAGCGGAGCACGCCAGGGCCATGACGCCAGAAGGACACGTACAGACAGTACAACCAAGCTCCCCTCCATCCATGCATTCAGCCCCAGCAGAGCGGGCCGCTAGAGAAGTCCAACCTCCGGTAATTCAGACCATAGGCCCACAGTTGCCAATGAATGATGCTAGGATCGCCCTGCAACATCATCAAGCACCCATGTGCGAGATGCAGGGAAATTGTAGAAATATTTATGTTTAAAATTGAAAAATTAATGTAGAACATGTGAATATCATGATTCCGTAGGAGTTGTATACAAGTATATGTGTAAAGTAACATCTTGATGCTAAGAATGCAGCTTTCGTATTTAAGAGAGAAGTAAATTAAGTATTATAAAAATTTCGCAAAATCTTCTTTCCTGTTTCTAAATTAACATTTTATAGAAATTTTGACATATTAGAAGCTTAAGAATATATTCAAGCAATCCATAATATACTATATACCACAATGATATAATCTATGCTAGCACATATTAGATATTATAATAGCAATTAAAATTATAGAAATAAAAGGTTAGGGTTAAGAAAAATACAAATTTTATTTATCATAGTCCGGTCACCACCACTTGTAACTTACGTCCAGATTGCATTCAATAATTTTTCACTATAAACCAAGCTTTACAGATGCTTGATAAACCTCTACAATCTCCAAACTTCTGATTGCTTGAAAACCTTACAATCCACCAAGTTTCACGGGTGCTTAGTAACCTCATAACCATTAAGCTTCACAAGTACTTAGAAACCTTCCATTGACCAACTTTCTTGGATGTTTGGCAACTTTACAATATGATTTCATAGTATCAGAGTGATTATCAAATGATAACTCTCTCAAAGAGCAAGTATACAAGTTGAAACTCTAAGTGCGTATGATGAATTTGCAAGAATGAGCTAAAAATTGATGAATTTGTGTACATGATTCTCAATGAATGTTTATGAAGCTCTTTTTACTCTTAAAATACTCTTAGAATGTGTACAAATGATGTCTCATGTTTAAGAGCCGTTAGAAGTGTATATATAGTGATTTTATCAAAAACTAGTAATTTATAGCTGTCATAGGCACAGTGCACAGTAAAAATTTGAATTCTTTGCATTAGTGATATGAATCCTTGTTGGGGATTTGTAACACCCCATGTTAGCAAAAGTGGGTTACGCTCATACGGTGGAGCAACATAATTACATATAACTCTTATAATTTGAGCACAAATAAATACCCAGTATGCCAGAGTGTTTACAATGCACAAATAGAAAATAAACACATAAAACTCTTCAGTTCAAGGCTCTCAAGTCTATTTCAATCTCAAATTCACATATTCAAAGACATCAAGGAGAACCCATACCCCACACAAATTAACAAGATCCTTCAAGTACAAGGCCAAATACAAGAACTATCTAAAGTCAATCATGTCACTAAAATATCTAGCACACAAGCAATCATCGAGAAACAGTATTCATAGGTATCATTGATGAGCAATTTTGCAATCTAATAATAATCACACCTCAACGTAAGTGCACATTAACACCAGTAATATACGATGTGTGAGTCTAAGTATCGTTCTCACACAGAAAATTACAAAATTAAGATCTAAGTGAAGCAATAAAAGTGATAATGATAATGATTAAGAACTAAATTGAAGTCTAATCCAATTTATCTACGAAATAAAGAATAAACTAAAATAATAATATTGCTTAAATTTAAGAACACACTAAAAGGATTAAGTTTCAAGTATCAAAAGGTATATTGGGATCAATTTTTTTAATATTGCAACTTCACCATAACGTTGGAACAATGCTACAGCTATCTTCCACCAGTAACCAAAACACTTAGTTGCATGTGGGGCTTTCGTCACCTTACATATATACTATAACCAATCCCCATATCCCTACACAGAATTAACTATTGAATTCATTAAGTTCAAGTTCCTTATAGCTATATGGTGTGGACCATCCTTGTACCCACAACTTAACTAAATTCAATTAACTTAGTTAATCCATATTATTTAATAAGGATTGGATTCACCTATATCCCTATAGCCTAAATCCTAAGACACTTGTTACTCCTTCCCACTAAGTCAACAAGATTAAGAATAAACACTTTATTAAACAACTCATGGAAAAATAACATAGCAAAGTTTCGGCATCCATGGTTATATTACAATAGGAGTACTTTATCATCCAATTCTAAGTAATTTATCTCATATTTGAAAAAAAAGAACAAGAAAACAAAGAAGAAATCTCTATAGAACTAAGGTAGAGCAAAACAGTATCTTAAGAAATCTAAATATTTTAGATAAATTAATCTTTTCATGTATAAAAAAATATCATCTTTTTATTTATAAATATGTTTAGATAAATTAATTTTAAAATATTTTTATTATCTAACATCAATAACTTAAGAAATTTAAATTTAAATAAGCATATGTGTAAGCTACTAGTAGGGATGTTCGCGGTCTAGATTGGATCAATCTGATCCAATACGTTCGGTTTAATTATTTAATCATCCATTCAGTTTGATTTTTTTAAAAAAAAAATAAGATCCAATCCAATTTTATTCGATTTGGATTGAATCGATTTTATGTTTTTCGAAAAGCTTAAAATTTCATTCATACAAATCACTAGTTACATCAAAATAAAGTCATTCAAAGTTACAAATCACTTGAAAATTCAAGTCTTTAAACTTATGAAGAGTTAAAATAGATTAATAGACAATAAAAAACTAAAACAAGATAGTTTGCTATCAATAACATCCAAGATTTCAAATCTATAAACAAGTTTTCAAGTCACAATCTTTCAAAAATAATAAATACATAATATTTTATATCAATTTGGATTGGATCGGTTTTCACCAACTAAACTGAAAATTGGTCCAATCCAATTAAAATATGTGAATTTTTTTTTGATTTTGGTTTTTTGATTTTGAGTTAATTTGGTTCGATCAACGTAATTTGAATCGGTTGATGAACACCCCTAGCCACTAGGATTGGTCTTATGGTGAAGGATTTGGATAGGTTGTATTATGTTATGTGTTTAATTCTCATTTGTATCGAAAAAATATATATATGTGTAATCAAGTCTTATTATACATACCAAAAGTGTCCCGATCGTATTAAATATAAGTAAATAGGCGATCTAGTTCTTATAAATATATTTTAATCGTAGTTTAATTTTAAAAAAG